TGGGAGGGAGGGGACAGAGAAGGATGGCAGCAGGGCTTTTGGGGGGGAGGGAAGGAGAGTGAGGGAAGGAGAGGTGGAGCAGTCGCAGAAGCGGCGGACGACCCTGTTTCAGCGGAATGGGAAGAGAGCGGGGGGGAGGGCGGGGGAGAGGGCGGGGCGGAAGGCGGGAGGGAGGGCGAGGAGGACACGGTGTCGTCCCTGGCGTTCATGGATATGCCCTCGTGGGAAGAACTGGATCGGTATTTGTACGAAGGGGAGGAGGCGTGAGGATGATGGATGGAGGGAGGGAGGGAGGGAGGGAGGGAGGGAGGGACCCTGTTTATGTTTGAAGACTTGGTTCAAGAAGGGAGGAAAGGCGACGGCGAAACGCCCCCCTCTGGTCAGGACCAGCCAATTCCGATGAAATGAATTGTAAAGAATGTAATGCGTATAGTAATCGACTAATCAGCATTTGACGACGGCTATAATGTTGTGCACGGGGTTGGTTTCCTTCTTCGTGTGTGAATTGTTCGTATGTGGAGGTCTTGCTTCCCTACGCGGAGATTACCCCTTGTTCCTCCACTGCTTGTGCAGACATTCGCCCTTTTGCAGGTGTATAACAATATCTATCCTGCATTTATCACCTTTTTTAAATGCGTTGAGAGCCCGTACGGGCGACACGTTTCATGGACGTTGCCAGAGGTTACGGGTTCTTTTCACATAGGCTCTCGTGCCCCTTTTTAGCGGCAAGAACTTCTTCGTTGTCGAGCCAGGAGGACTTAAACTTAAGCGGTGGACTATTCGAAACATTTTCGTGGTTCCGTTTGTACTTGAAAGTGCGGTTACAATTAGGGTTCGGCTGTAAAAGTAGGTAACTTTGCTGTAAGAACCGCCTCTTTTAGAGGCCTCTGGCGACCAATTTTTGATTTCAAACGACAAGGAAGAGACAGCCTCACTCTCAATCCCCATTTTTATTCTTACGCATAAATTAAACGATCAATACTGTGGTCGATGCCACGAAAAAATGTTTTTAAAATTCCGGAAAGAAGTTCATATACCGCCTTTAACCTCCCCGTCGCCTTTTGTATCTCACCATAATCATGCAGTGTCTACGGTAATTTCCATTGAAATCTTCTTGAATTCTTGGGATAAAGGCGGAAATCCCGGTCTGACGCAATTTATGACGCCGGGTCGAGTGTAGCTTGGACAGTGTGGGAATTGCAAGGTTGAAAAGGCTTGTGCTGGGAGTCTATTCTCAAAACCAAGTAACATTCCTGTTTTCCCTCCCCGCCTCACACCCTAAATGAACGTCCTGTTCTTGTCACCATGCCCATACCATTGATGTATGGCTGTTGGGGTACGTGGGAACTAATACCACGTGTCTGGTGGCATGCGTGTGCCTTGTATTGGTTGGAAAGTCTCCGATCTCCCGCATCGCAAGAGGTGATGTCTTATCCCATGTCGATTTTTTCCTCACCCCTCAAAACTCCTTCTATCATTGCCCCACCTGCCTACCACTAGGCCATGTCGGAATCGTATCGAAGAGCAGTAGGAGGACGCCTCAAGATCGGTGGGAAAGAGGTGGATGTGTAAGTAAAGACTGGGGGAATGTGGGGTGGGGCAAGGGCGGGAGCTGACATAGGTGAGACGTCGCAGACATCATGGTATGGCGGTCAGCACGCGACACAAAGAATGAGACAGTCCTGCTCATTTCGTGAATCATGGCGAAGGTTCCGGTGCTCATTTTCAAGGGGAAGAGGGAGGCCGTCGCCGATGTATTGAACATCAAGTCGCAAGCACGAGTCTTCCTTCTGCCTCTGATTATATCTGTCCTCGAGTACCCGCAAAGTGCATGTCTCAATTCTTCTGTGACATAAGAGAGCGTTAGCTAGCCCTGTACTGTATCTTACATGTTCCTTTTCCTCTCCGCCTCCCTTCTTGGGGGTTCTCCCTCCTTCTCAAATGTGCTCCGTCTTTCCCTCCCTTCCCTTTCCAAGCTCGAGGAAGAAGAAAGGGAAAAAAAAGCGCCTCCGCACCGAGGAAGAAAATCTTGAGGCCGATCCAGACCCGCGTCGGGTCTTGAAGCATTCGAAGGAGGAAGGGAACGAGGGCGGTAGCGGTGCGGAGGAGGGGGAGACCCCCCTGCTGCAGGCTAAGGCAGGAAGCGGGCGAATCACGAGCAGCGGCCAAGTTGTCACAGGGTACGAGACCGAATTCTTGCAAGAATTACGGGTGAACGACGCCTTGATCATCACGCACCCGAGCACGTTGATGGAGGAGACACGGATCGTGAAAATGATCGTCAGCAACAAGGGCCTTTCCCTCTCTTCCCCCTTCTCGAGCGACTTGATCACCACCACCCGGTTCCGCTACATCCATCCGCCGGAAGAAGACGAGGAAGGGGGGAGAGAAGCCCGGGAGGAGGAGCGACGGCGGCAGGAGAAGGCGGGGGAGGAGGAGAAAGCTTTTGGGACGTATGGGGGGGCGGGGGGGTCGAAATTGGTATATAGGGTGAAGAAAGCAGGGACGTACGGAGGGTATCGGATCGTCACGGAGGATATGGGGGCGAGCCTCTCAAGGACGGAGCTTTTGGAGAGGCGGCTGCAGCATAAGAGTGACCGGCACGCGAATTGAAAGCAGGGAAAAGGTTGGATAGGAAGTACAAATAAAAGGAGTCATACTGCGAATGAAAAGCATACAAAAGTTTGGATGGGAAGTACGAATGAACGAGGATCACCCAAGGAGAATTGCTTCCCAGGAGGGCGTCGTGGGGACCTCCTTTTAGCTCGGCCGGGGGGGGGGACGCTCGAATGTTGCTTGCTTTCTTTTCGAGATTTTTGGGTTCGAAGGCAGTGAAGTCGGCTTTGGTTAATTGCTATGGTGATACTTTCTGTCCAGTGGGAAAGTGATGTTCGCACGTGCGGCGCCATCATCTTGAATGTCTCCTTCATGATATGGCTTGAGGGAACGCTGGTGGTGAGGGTAGGGGTCAAGTAAAGTAGAAGTCTGCCAAAACCTTGAGCAAGGTCTTTGACAAGACGAAAGGCTCTGTTTTATGCGTTAATACATGTTGTGCGCTTTTTGTTAAAAGGGGGGAAAGTCGTGGTGTGAACTACTGAAGGAGCCAGGGAGGCAACCTCCCAACACAGTCTGTCTCCTCGCCGTCATTCAAGACAACAAATGCGCGAAGCCTTTACGTTAAGGTGTAGTCAAGAATATTTAACAGCAGCGAGATGTGTAGCTAGGAAAAAAAATGGCTGCCGCACGACTTAACGACAGGAAACACGGAGAGGTTGGAGGTGGCGGTCGTCGTAGCAGACGAGACCCAAACATCTCTTTCCTTCCTCCCTCCCTCCGTTCCTCCCTCCCTCCCT